ATGGAGGGGGGCAAAACGTCCCATGTCTCTGCCTCCTGCCCCCACCCAGGGCTGACAGTGCCCGCTTGGTGGACCCACCAGCATCCCTCCAGCTCCTTGTCACCCCACAGGTTGCCATCCCCCCAGCGCAGCCACAGCGCCCCAAACTGCAGCTGGTAAGGACACCCAGTGGGGGTAATGTGGGTGGGAGAACCCCAGAAAATCCTGTCCCTCCTCACCCCCAGTGTGCCCTCCCCACCGTAGTGCTGCGGGACAACTTCCGCCTGCAGCCGAGTGATTTGGTGACCATGGCGGGGCAAGCCTTGGAGCTGGATTGCGTCCCCCCCTCGGGGCACCCTGAACCCCGTGTCACCTGGAAGAAGGACGGGGTGACCTTGGACTTGGTCGGTGACAGGTATGTGGTCACCAACGGGAAGTTGCGGGTGGCACCTGCACAACGGAGCGACTCTGGGCTCTACATCTGTGTGGCAGCCAACGCAGCAGGCAAGAGAGAGAGCCGGGGTGCCCGCGTCTCCGTCCTGGGTAAGCCAATGGTCTCCCGTGGGTGGTGGGCATGTCACACTCAGCCATGGTGCCACATCCTTGATGTCCCCCCACAGAGAAGCCGACCATTGTGCGGCATCCAAGCGATACTGTGGTGGTGGCTGGCAGCACTGTGGATCTGAGCTGCAGCGCCCAAGGTGACCCAGTGCCACGGGTACAGTGGCACAAGGAGCGTGGGGACCTGCCCTGGGGCAGGTAGGTGGTGGCAGGAGAGAGGTGCCCCATCCATGGGGTGGGCATGGGGCTGATGGAGACCTGATGACCCGCAGGCACGAGGTGGACCGGGAGCACACTTTGCGCATCTATGCCGTAACACCTGCTGACGCCGGCACCTACGTGTGTACAGCGCAGAGCCAGCTGGGTACTGCCGCCGCCACCGCCCTTCTCCATGTGGAGGGTCAGTGGTGGGACCTCCATAGCCTCCTCCATCACAGGCACCCAGGGCCATGCGGGGGCCCATACAAGGGGATCCATCTAGCAGGGTCCATCTAATGGGGTTCATCCAAGGAGATCATCCAAAGGAGTCATCTGAGGGGAATCTGTGCAAGGGCAATCCAAACAAGGGGAGTTCCTCCAAGGAGATCATCCAAGGGGAGTCCATTCATGGGGGTTCATCCAAGGGCATCCATCAAAAAGGGTCCATCCACGTGAGTCGTCTAAGGGAATCCATTTCAAGAGGGTCCATCAAAGAGGGTACTTCCAAAGGTGGGTCCATCTAAAAGCATCCAAGCAACAGGATCCATGCAAGGATTCTATCCTAGCCTGTCCACGTAAGGGAACACATCTATAGGGAGGGTCCATCCAAGGGGATCCATTCAAGAGACCCCACCTAAAGGGAATCCAGCCAAGCTGGGTCCTCCAAGAGGATCCATTTAAGGAAGTCTGTCCAAGATGGAGGGTCCATTAAAGGGGAATAGAACGAGGTATCCATTCAAAGGGTCCATCTAAGGGGGACACATCAATGGGGTCCATCAAAGGTGTCCATTCAAGGGGTCCACTTAAGTGGGTCCATCCAGAGAGACATCAGGGTCTCCAGGTACAGGTAGCTGAGGTAGGTACCTGAGCAGGTGCCTGGGGATCTCACTCCTGCCCAGTGCTGGCATTAGCCTCCCTCTGCCCCACAGAGCAGCTGCTGACGGGCCGGAGGGACACTGCACCACGGGACCTGCTGGCTGTGCGGCTGCACCTGGACAATGGCACCGCGCTGCCCACTGCTGCTGTCCGGCTCCGCTGGCAGGTTGGTGTGTTGCCAGGATGTCCCCAATGGAGTGGGGGGATGTGATACAGGGATGAGGCTGGAGCCACATCCCCATGTCCCTCCATGGCTTGGAACCCTCTGCACCCCCTTCAGATGCTGATGCCGGTGCCTGTGTCGGTGGGCTACGTGGTGCTGTACCGCAGCCTTCTCCCAGCCACCACCTCCTGGGTCCAGCATGATGCAGGCAAGGAGCTCAGCACTGTCATCCCTGCGCTCCGCAGGGGCTACAAGTATGAGTTCAAGGTCCGACCCTACACTGGAGGGACCCAGGGCTTGGATAGCAACAGCAGGCACCTCTGGATACCTGAGGAAGGTGCGTTGGGTGTCCCCAGCAGTGCCTGGATGGAGGATTAGGGTAAGATCATTTGGGGTTCCCAGGCATCTCAGCACCCTTGTCCCTGCAGTGCCAAGTGCAGCACCCCAGCATGTTTCCGTGGGTCAGGCTGAGACAGGGAACGGCACGGTGGTCGTGAGCTGGGAACCACCTCCTCCTGAGGCCCACAATGGCATTATCCAGGGCTACCAGGTTTGTGGTGATGGGGTGAGGGCACAGGACTGGGGGGCTTCTGGCTAAAGAGGGTCCATCCAAGGGTGTCCATCCAAGAAGGGAGCCTGTTAAGAGTGGGGGTCTATCTGAGGGTCTCCTGTCCAAGGGGTCTGTCCAGGAGGGATCTCAACACATGGGTTCATCCAAAGGGACCAGCCAAGGTGAAAGTCCATCCCAGGGGATCCATCTTGTGGCATTCATCCAAGGGAGCTCATCCAAAGGGACCCAGCCTAGGGGATCCATCCAAGTGGGGGGTCCATCCAAGAAGGGGTAAATCAATGAGGGTCCATCCAAGGGGGTCTGTCCTAGTGGCATGTAAGGTAGCCCATCCAAAGGGATCTAACCAAGGGGATCCATCAAGGGAATTCATCTAAGGAGACCCATCCAAGGGGGATCCATCAACTGGGGCCCATCAAGGGATGTTCATCCAAGGCAGGCCATTCAAAGGGGTCCGTCTAAGGGGGATCTATTAATGGGAGTCTATCAAGGAGAACTATCCAAGGGAACTCATCTTCTTGGTGCTTGCCAGGTCTGGTCAATGGGCGAGGGCTGGCAGCGCCCCACCAACAGGACAGTGGACGGAGGCACTCACCGCCTAGAAACCTTCCTGCCAAACCCTGGGGCCGAGTTCTGTGTCCAGGTGGCAGCTTTCAACGGTGCAGGGCTGGGAGTGCCCAGCAATGCCACCTGCCGTGTCCTGGGTAGGGAACAGAGAGCAGGGTAGGGTGCAGGTGGGGGTCAAGGTGGTGACATGGGGTGACACTGGTGAGACCATTGCAGGGCTGACATCAGGGAGCAGCCGAGTGATCCAGGCACTGCAGCAGCCTGCTGTCATCGCGGCCGCCGGCTCCATGCTCTGGTTGGCCTTACTCGCCCTCCTCCTTCTCCTCTGCCAGCGTCGTGCCAGCCAGGATGCTGCAGCTCGCCGCAGGTGAGAGGCCATGGGGTGGGGGACACAGGAGGTCCCTGATGTGCTGGGGATGGGAATGCCCTGACAGCATCTCTTGTCCCACAGGCTGGTGGCTGCTGACTCACCATGGCTT